CACTCCCCCCCAGCTCTCCCCTCTCCCCCGTTTCCTCACCACCTTCTCGGGGCAGTTCACCCGGGGCGTTCTCACGGTCACCTCGCCGTGCTGGGCACCGCCGGGGCCGTGCCAGGCCGTGCCAGGCTGCCCGGGGGGGCTGTGCCCGGCGCTGGCCGCCTCGCCCTCGCCCTCGCTCCGGTTGCCCACGGCCTCTGCCCGGTTGCCCACGGCCTCTGCCCGGTTGCCCTCGCCCCGGGTGCCCACGGCCTCTCCCCGGGTGCCCACGGTGTCCCCCCGGGTGCCCACGGTGTCCCCCCGGGTGCCCACGGTGTCCCCCCGGGTGCCCACGGTGTCCCCCCGGGTGCCCACGGTGTCCCCCCGGGTGCCCACGGTGTCCCCCCGGGTGCCCACGGTGTCCCCCCGGGTGCCCACGGTGTCCCCCCGGGTGCCCACGGTGTCCCCCCGGGTGCCCACGGTGTCCCCCCGGGTGCCCACGGTGTCCCCCCGGGTGCCCACGGTGTCCCCCCGGGTGCCCACGGTGTCCCCCCGGGTGCCCACGGTGTCCCCCCGGGTGCCCACGCTGCCCAGGCCGCTCGGGGCTCGGTCCTCGGCGCCCTCGGGGTTCGAGCGGGTGCGAGGCCGAACTTCTGGAAGCTTCTCCTCCTCGTCCTCGGCCGCGCTGCCCGGCTCCGACGGGTCCATCCTGAAACTGGGGGGGCTGGGACCCCAAAATCAGGGGGTTTGGGGTGCGGTGGGGCTGGGACTCCAAAATCAAGGGGTGTGGTAGGGCTGGGACCCAAAATCAGGGGGTGTGGTAGGGCTGGGACCCCAAAATCAGGGGGTGTGCTGGGGCTGGGACCCCAAAACGGGGGGGTGTGCTGGGGCTGGGACTCCAAAATCAAGGGGTGTGGTAGGGCTGGGACCCAAAATCAGGGGGTGTGGTAGGGCTGGGACCCCAAAATCAGGGGGTGTGCCGGGACTGGGACCCCAAAATCAGGGGGTGTGCTGGAGCTGGGACCCCACAATCAGGGGGTTTGGGGTGCTGTGGGGCTGAGACTCAAAAATCAGTGGGTTTGGGGTGCGGTGGGGCTGGGACCCCAAAATCAAGGGGTGTGGTAGGGCTGGGACCCCAAAATCAGGGGGTGTGCCGGGACTGGGACCCCAAAATCAGGGGGTGTGCTGGGACCGGGACCCCAAAATCAGGGGGTGCTGTGGGGCTGGGACTAAAAAATCAGCGGGTTTGGGGGTTCTCTGTGCCTGGGACCCCAAATCAGAGGGTCAGGGGGTTCTGTGTGCCTGAACCCCAAAACAGGGGGGTGCTGTGGGGCTGGGACCCCCAATCAGCAGGTTTGGGGTGCTGTAGGGCTGGGACCCCAAAAGCAGGGGGTGCTGTGGGGCTGGGACCCCAAAAGCAGGGTCCACGCACCCCCATTCTCCGACCCCCTTTCCCACGCCCCTCCCCCGCTCCACGCCCCCATCTCTTCCCGCCCTCCCTTCCCCACCTCCCCCCAGAGCTCCTGTTCGCCCCCGACCCCCCAAAACCCCCCTGAAGGGCCCGAACGCTTCCTCACGCCTCTTTCCCCTCACTCACCCCATTCTTCACATCCTCCCCGTTCTTCTCCGCCCCCTGAACCCCCCAAAGCCCCCCCCCGCTCACCGATCTCCGCCCCTCTGGCCTGGCCCCGTTCCGCCGGAAGTGGCGCCGCGCGGAGGCTGCTGGGAGTTGTAGTCCCTCTGGACCCCCGAACACCGCCCCCCGCCCCACAAATGCCCCTACAAACCGCGCTGCGCCTCTGCCGCACCCCAAACATCGTGTGCACCCCCCACGAACGGCTTTCTGCACCCCAAATATCCCTGTGCCCCGCCCTCTGCCCCCCAAATACTCGCGTTCTACCCTAAATATCCATGCGCACCCCCAGAACCGCCTCCCGCACCCCAAATGTCCACGTGCGCCCCCCAAATATCCACCTGCACCCCCAAATATCCGCCTGCGCCCCAAATATCGATGGGCGCCCCCCGAGTATCCACCTGCACCCCAAATATCGATGTGCTCCCCCTCGCACCCCAAATATCCACCTGCACCCCAAATATTCACGTGCACCCCAAATCCCCGTGTGCCCCCCCCAGAACCGCCTCCCACACCCCAAATCCCCCTGCTCCACACCCTTCCCCCCTCCCGCACCCCAAATACCCCCTCAGCACCCCAAAACCAGCACTCCCCACGCCCCACAGCACCCCAAAGCTCTCTCAGCACCCCAAAATCCCCCTGCACACCCCAAAAGCGTCCTGGGGTCTCCGTCCCATTGGGGGGTGCCCTGTGGGGTGGGGGTGGCAGCGCCCTGGCACCGGGGAGGGCACGGCCACACGGGAGGTTTGGGGATTTTTGGGGGGTTTTGGGATTTTGGGGGGGGGTTGGGTTTTTGGGGGGGCAGGGTACCCCAAAAGGGCCCCGCAGTGCCCCCCAGGCGGGGCAGCTGAACGGTTAAAGGAAGAGGAAATCCCGGCAGGAACACGGCCGGGGCCGGAGGCGGAGCCGGACAGCGGGAGGTGCCGGGGGACGGAGACCGGGAGAGAACGGGGGGACAAGGGGAGAACGGGGGGACCGGGAGAGAACGGGGGAACCGGGAGGGAATGGGGGGACAAAGAGAGAATGGGGGAACCGGGGGGAACCGGGAGAGAACGGGGAGACCGGGGGGAACCGGGAGAGAACGGGGGAACCGGGAGAGAGCGGGGGGACCGGGAGAGAACGGGGGGAACGGGAGAGAACAGGGGGGACCGGGAGAGAATGGGGGGGACCGGGAGAGAACGGGGGGACCGGGAGAGAACGGGAACCCGGAGAGAACGGGAACCAGGGGGAACTGGGAGAGAACGGAGGGAACTGGGATGGAACTGGGACAGAACGGGAACCTGGGGAGAATGGGGGCAGCACGGGGGGGACCGGGACAGAACGGGGGGGACCGGGAGAATGGGAACCCCGAGATGGAGCGGGACCCTCGGTGTGAAACTGGGAGAGAACGGGAACCTGGGGGAACCGGGAGAGAATGGGAACCCCAGAGTGGGACTGGGACCTGCTGGGAGCCTGGGGGTGGAACCGGGACATCCCGGAGCCCCCGTGTGGAACCGGGACGTGTTGGGACCCTCAGAGGGGAGCTGGGCCGTGCTGGGAGCCACGGGCAGGACGATCCCGGCATGGAGGAGGTGAGCGGGCACAGCGCGGGGCTGACCCCAAATGGAACTGATCCCAAATGGAACTGATCCCAAATGGGGCTGACCCCAAAGAGAACTGGGGCTGACCCCAAACGGGGCTGACCCCACACGGGGCTGACCTCAAATGGGGCTGATCCCCAAAGAGAACTGGGGCTGACCCCAAACGGGGCTGACCCCACACGGGGCTGACAGGAGGAGGAGGAGACCCCAAACCGGGGTCACACCCCGTGTCTGCCCAACCCGGGTCTGTCCCACCCGGGACTGGCCCACCCGGGACTGCCCCACCCGGGTCTGCCCCACCCGGGACTGCCCCACCCGGGTCTGCCCCACCCGGGACTGGCCCACCCGGGACTGCCCCACCCGGGACTGGCCCACCCGGGACTGCCCCACCCGGGTCTGGCCCAGCGCTCCCGGGGCTCCCCGTGCCCGCTCCGCGGTGGAATTCCCGCTGCGGGCGGCAGGACGGGGCTGGTGGCCCCGCGGGCCGGGCTGGTGGCCAAAGCTCGTCCCTGTGCCAGGAGAGCCCGGTAGGTGCCAGCCGCTGTGCCCCCGGTGCTGAACGGGGCACGGGCACCCCCCCGGGGACCCCCCGGGAGGAGGAGGAGGAGGAGGAGGAGGAGGAGGAGGATGACGAGGACGTGGCCGGTGACACCGAGGACATCCCGCTGCTGGCAGGGGCGGCCCCGCGACAGCAGCGGCGACAGCAGCGCCCCGCCAGGTACCGGCACCGCCCCCGCGCCACCCGCGGGGACACCGGGACGGCGGGGACAGCGGGACTGAGGGGACAGCGGGACTGAGGGGACAGCGGGACAGCGGGGACACCGGGACTGAGGGGACACCGGGACCGAGGGGACACCGGGATCGAGGGGACACCGCGACAGCGGGGACACCGGGACCGAGGGAACACCGGGACAGCGGGGACACCGAGACTGAGGGAACACCGGGACAGCGGGGACACCGAGACTGAGGGAACACCGGGACCGAGGGGACAGCGGGACCTCACCGTGCCCTTCCTCGCCCCGCAGTGAGGATGAGGACGGCTGGGAGGCCACCCCCTCTGTCGCCACTGTCGCCGCTGCCAGCGCGGACGGTGAGCGCCGCACCCCGTGCCACCACAGGTGCCACCACCGCGCTGTCCCTGCCCTGATGGCAGTGTCGCTGTCGCTGTCCCCAGCGCGCAGCCCGGATCTCTTCGAGCGCCTGCAGCACGCCGTGAGCTCCCTGGAGCGCGCCGTGTTCTCCCGCCACCGGCAGCCCCCGCCGCGGCCGCCGCCCGGCCCGGGCTGGCACCGAGCGCTGCAGGTGAGGCACGGCGGGCACGGAACCGGCCCGGCACGGCGGGCACGGAACCGGCCCGGCACGGTGGGCACCTGCGGGCAGCGCTGGGCCAGCGGGACGAGGAGCTGGGCACGGCCACGGCCGCGCTGCGGGCGCTGCGGGGCGAGCGGGAGCGCCTGCAGGGCAAGGTGGGTGCGGGACAGCCGGTGGCACGCTCGGGGTGTCACCGGGTGCCACCGTCGGGTGTCACCAGAGCGGTGCCGGTGCTGAGCCCCGTGTCCCGTTCAGGTGCGGGACCTGCGGGAGGCTCTGGCCAGGCTGGAGGAGCTGGGGGGGTCTGGCAGTGACACCCCCGGGGTCGGTGACACCTCTGGGACTGGCGACATCTCCGGGAACCGTGACACCCCCGGGGCCAGTGACACTCCCGGGGTCGGTGACACCCCCGGGACTTGTGACACTCCCGGGGCCGGTGACACTCCCGGGGTCGGTGACACTCCCGGGACCGGTGACACTCCCGGGGTCGGTGACACCCCCGGGCCCAGCAGCCCCCCGGGGCACCGGGTGAGTGCGGGGCTGTGGCACGGGTGGGTCCTGCCCAGGCACGGGGCTCTGGGGTCCCCTCCGCAGGATGTCACCCGGGGTGGTGGCGTTGCCGCCCCCCGGGTGACCCCCCCGGGCCGCTCCCCTCCATGTCGCCCCCTCCCCTGCAGCCCCTCGCCCCGCTGTCCCCCCAGCCCTCGGCGGGACCCGGCCGGGAGCAGGAGGAGCGGCTGCAGCAGCTGCAGGGGTGAGTCCCCCGAGCCCCCAGCCCCCCTGGGGACACTGAGGCACGGCTCCGGTGCCCCCAGGTTCCCGTTCTGTCCCAGTTCCATCCCGGCTCCCCCTGTTCCATCCCGATTCCCCCGGGAGGTGAATCCCTCCCAAGCCCCGAGCGCCCCCCGAGCCCGGAGTGCCCCCCAAGCCCCGAGCCCCCCGCCCTCCTGGGGACACTGAGGCACGGCCCGGGGCCCGCGGGCCCGCAGGGTGCTGGCGCGGCTGCAGGAGGCGAACCGGGAGCTGCTGGCGGCGCTGGGCGAGTGCAAGGGCGAGGCGGAGCGGCTGAGCCTGGAGCTGGGCCGGAGAGAGGCGCGCTGCAGCGGGCTGAGGCTGGCACTGCGCTGCAGGTGGGACACGGGATGGGGACAGGGACAAGGGGCAGGGGACAGGGGACAGGGGACAGGGGACAGGGACAGCCCCACCGAGCTGCAGCGGGCTGAGGCTGGCACTGCGCTGCAGGTGGCACAGGGGACAGGGATGGGGACAGGGGACAGGGGACAGGGAGGGGAACAGGGATGGGGACAGAGGACAGCCCCACTGAGCCCCTTGTCCCGCCGCAGCAGGCTGCAGCTGGCGCTGCGCTGCAGGTGGCACAGGGGACAGGAGACATGGGATGGGGACGAGGATGGGGACAGGGGACAGGGGATGGGGACAGGGATGGGGACAGGGATGGGGACAGCCCCACTGAGCTGCAGTGGGCTGCGGCTGGCACTGCGCTGCAGGTGTGACAGGGATGGGGACAGGGGACAGGGACAGAGGTGGGATGGGGACAGGCTCCTGAGATCCTCAGGATGGGAACAGGATAGAGACAGAGGTGGGAATGGGGACAAGGACAGGGACAGGGATGGGAACAGTCCTGGTGAACCCCTCGGGATTGGGACAGGGATGGGGACAGGGGACAGGAGACAGGGGACAAGGGACAGGGACAGGGGACAGGGACAGAGGTGGGAATGGGGGCAAGGACAGGGACAGGGATGGGGACAGGGATGGGAACAGTCCTGGTGAACCCCTCGGGATTGGGACAGGGATGGGGACCTGAATGGGGACAGGGATGGGGTGGGACGGGATGGGGACAGGGATCAGGATCGGGACCGGGATGTGGATCAGGATGGGGACTCGGATGGCAATGGGGACAAGGATGAGGAATGGGGACAGGGACAGGGCTGGGGACAGTCCCCCTGAGCCCCTCGTCCCCCAGCGAGCGCTGCGGGGGGGCCTACGCCGCCCTCCTGGACCTGGTGCGGGCAAAGGTGACACCGGAGGGTGGCACCCGTGGGGGTGAGTGACAGCGGGGGGACACCGGGGACACTGGGGGACACGGGGGAGACTGGGGGGTTGTGAGGGGGGATACTGGGAATACTGGGGAGATACTGGGACTGATGGGGAGATACTGGGGGGATACTGGGAATACTGGGGGGATACTGGGGGGATACTGGGAATACTGGGGGCATACTGGGGAGATACTGGGGTGATGGGGAGGACGCTGGGGGCATACTGGGAATACTGGGGATACTGGGAATACTAGGGAGATACTGGGACTGCTGGGGAGATACTGGGGAGATACTGGGGAGCAATCAAGGACGATGCTGAAGGGATGCATGAGGGGATACTGGGGGATGCACGAGGGATACTGGGAGATACTGGGAGGGCTTTGGGGGGATGCAGGGAGCTTGTGGGGCATCCCGGTGCCACCCACACCCCCTTGCGGGCACCCCTGGGCAGCGGCACTGCCCGCGCCGAGCCCGGGAACCGGGGCGGAACCGAGCCCGGGCCGTGCACCGGGACCCGGCCCCGCCACACCGGAACCGAGCCCGGGCCGTGCACCGGGACCCGGCCCCGCCACACCGGAACCGAGCGCGGGCCGTGCACCGGGACCCGGCCGCGCCACACCGGAGCCCCCGGGGCCAGCGGAGCCGGACAGCCGTGAGGACCCCGCGGACAGGTACCGGGGGGCGCGGGGGTCCCGGGGCTGAGCCCCCCCGGGTGCCCCGTGCCCACCGCCGCCGTGCCCGCCCCGCAGCCCCCGGGGGATGGAGGAGGGAGCGCTGCGGGAGCGCATCCGCCGGCTCCGCGCCGAGCAGGCGGCGGTGGAGGGGTCGCTGCTGGACGCCCCCGAACCTTCGGAGCCCCCCCGGGAGCGCGACCCCCGAGGCCGGGCGGAGCGGGCGCTGCGGGAAGCGCGGGCGCTGCTGCCCGGCTGGAGGCGGCCGGACAAGGAGGAGCTGCTGCAGGAGCTGGCGGTGCTCAAGGTGGGGCCGGGATCCTTGCCTGGATCCCTTCTGGATCCCTTCATGGATCCTTCCTTGAACCCTTTCCTGGATGCCTTCATGGATCCTTCTCTGAATCCTTTCTTGGGTCCTTCCCTGGATCCCTCCATGGATCCCTCTGTGGATCCCTTAATGGATCCTTTCTTGGATCCCTCCATGGATCCCTCCCTGGGACCTTCCCTGAATCCTTTCTTGGGCTCTTCCCTGGGACCCTCCCTGGATCCCTCCCTGAATCCTTCCCTGGATCTCTCCCGTGATTTCTTAATGGATTTCTCCATGGATCCTTCCCTAAATCCTTTCTTGAGTCCCTTCCCTGGGTCCCTTCATGAATCCCTCCCTGAATCCTTCCCTGGGACCCTCCCTGGATTTCTTCATGGGTTTCTCCATTGATCCCTCCCCGGATCCTTTCCTGGATCCCTTCATGAATTCCTTAATGGATCCTTCCCTGAATCCTTCCCTGGTCCCTTCATGGATCCTTCATGGATCCCTCCGTGGATCCCTCCCATGATTTCTTAATGGATATCCCCATGGATCCCTCCCGGAATCCCTCCCGGGTCCCTCCCGGGTCCCTCCCTGGCTCCCTCCCGGGTCCCTCCCCGTCTCGCCGGCCGTGCCTCAGTTTCCCCGCGGTTCCAGGAGGCGCTGGCGGAGCTGCGGACGCGGCTGCAGCTGGCGCAGAAGGAGAAGCGAGCGCTGGAGCTGCTGCTGGCCGCGCACGGACCCCGCGAGGCCGCGCTGCGCCTCCTGCTGCGGGAACGGCAGCGGGAGCGGCACCGGGACCGGGACCGGGACCGGGACCGGGAGCGGCACCGGGAGCGGGAACCGGAACGGGACGGGCGGGACGGAGCCTCTAATGGATCCTTTCTTGGATCCCTCCATGGATCCCTCCCTGGGACCTTCCCTGAATCCTTTCTTGGGCTCTTCCCTGGGACCCTCCCTGGATCCCTCCCTGAATCCTTCCCTGGATCTCTCCCGTGATTTCTTAATGGATTTCTCCATGGATCCTTCCCTAAATCCTTTCTTGAGTCCCTTCCCTGGGTCCCTTCATGAATCCCTCCCTGAATCCTTCCCTGGGACCCTCCCTGGATTTCTTCATGGGTTTCTCCATTGATCCCTCCCCGGATCCTTTCCTGGATCCCTTCATGAATTCCTTAATGGATCCTTCCCTGAATCCTTCCCTGGTCCCTTCATGGATCCTTCATGGATCCCTCCGTGGATCCCTCCCATGATTTCTTAATGGATATCCCCATGGATTCCTTCCCTGAATCCCTCCCGGGTCCCTCCCTGGCTCCCTCCCGGGTCCCTCCCCGTCTCGCCGGCCGTGCCTCAGTTTCCCCGCGGTTCCAGGAGGCGCTGGCGGAGCTGCGGACGCGGCTGCAGCTGGCGCAGAAGGAGAAGCGAGCGCTGGAGCTGCTGCTGGCCGCGCACGGACCCCGCGAGGCCGCGCTGCGCCTCCTGCTGCGGGAACGGCAGCGGGAGCGGCACCGGGACCGGGACCGGGACCGGGACCGGGAGCGGCACCGGGAAGCTCCGGCAGAACGGGACGGGCGGGACGGAGCCTCCGGCAGCTCCGGCAGCAGCTCCGGCAGCAGCTCCGGCAGCAGCTCCGAGGAGGTGGGGATGGATCCCATGGGGGGATTCCCGGGATTCGGGGGATGCCGAGGGATGGGAGACAGCGGGAATCTCTGCAGGAGGCGCGGATGGGCCGGGGGGCGGCGATGGCTCCGGGGAACCCCCCGGACCCCCGGAGAACGAGGGAGGAGCTGCTGCGGATCCGGGCCAGGTGAGGGACGGGAGCTGTGGGGCTGGGAATTCTGTGGGGCTGGGAACGGTGAGGGATTGGGAATTGCGTGGGGCTGGGAAAGGTGTGGGGTTGGGAATTGTGGGGCTGGGAATTCTATGGGACGGGGTATTCTGTGGGGTTGGGAATGGTGTGGGACTGGGAACCGTGTGGCATTGGAAATTGTGTGGGATTAGGAATTGTGGGGCTGGGAATTGTGTGGGGTTGGGAATTGTGGGGCTGGAATTGCGTGGGACAGGGAAAGGTGTGGGGCTGGGAATTGTGGGGCTGGGAATTCTATGGGACGGGGTATTCTGTGGGGTTGGGAATGGTGTGGGGCTGGGAATTCTGTAGGACTGGGAATTGTGTGGGATTAGGAATTGTGGGGCTGGGAATTGTGTGGGGTTGGGAATTGTGAGGCTGGAATTGTGTGGGGCAGGGAAAGGTGTGGGGTTGGGAATGGTGTGGGACTGGGAACCGTGTGGCATTGGCAATTGTGTGGGATTAGGAATTGTGGGGCTGGGAATTTTGTGGGGTTGGGAATTGTGGGGCTGGAATTGTGTGGGGCAGGGAAAGGTGTGGGGTTGGGAATGGTGTGGGGCTGGGAATTCTGTAGGATTGGGAATTGTGTGGGACTGGGAACCGTGTGGCATTGGAAATTGTGTGGGATTAGGAATTGTGGGGCTGGGAATTTTGTGGGGTTGGGAATTGTGGGGCTGGAATTGTGTGGGGCAGGGATTGCTGTGGGGCTGGGAACGGTGCGGGGCTGGGAATTCCGTAGGATTGGGAATTGTGCGGGGCCGCCCCGTGTCCCCAGGACGGAGCAGCTGCGCGGCCGCGCCCGGGAGCTGGCGCTGGCCCTGGAGCGGGGCAGCGCTGCCAGCCGTGCCCAGCAGGGACACAGCGCCAGCGTCACCCTGGAGCTGCTCCAGGCGCACAGGTGGGCACGGGGCCTCGGGACGGGGTCCCCTGGGTGTCCTGGGGTCCCCTCATTTCCCTCAGTTCCCCTTTGAGTCCCTGGAAGCCCCGACTCCCCTCCTTCCTCTGGCTCCCTAAATCCCAAAATCCCAGGCTCCCCTAAATCCTCTGCATCTCCAACTCCCTGACTCTCCAAGTCCCAAATTCCCCGACTCCCCAAATCCCCTGATCTCCCCCCACTCCCTATCTCCCTAAATCCACAAATCCCCAGCTGCCCCTATTCCCTGGCTCCCTAAATCCCCAAACCCCCCGACTCCCCAAAAATCCCAGGCTCCCCTAAATCCTCTGCATCTCCATTCCCCTGACTCTCCAAATCCCAAATTCCCCGACTCCCCAAATCCCCTGATCTCCCCCCACTCCCTATCTCCCTAAATCCACAAATCCCCAGCTGCCCCTATTCCCTGGCTCCCTAAATCCCCAAACCCCCAACTCACCGAAATCCCCCGATCTCCCCCCACTCCCCATCTCCCTAAATCCCCAAATCCCCCAACTCCCTGGCTCCCTAAATCCCCAAACCCCCAACTCACCGAAATCCCCCGATCTCCCCCCACTCCCCATCTCCCTAAATCCCCAAATCCCCCAACTCCCTGGCTCCCTAAATCCCCAAACCCCCAACTCACCGAAATCCCCCGATCTCCCCCCACTCCCCATCTCCCTAAATCCCCAAATCCCCCAACTCCCTGGCTCCCTAAATCCCCAAACCCCCAACTCACCGAAATCCCCCGATCTCCCCCCACTCCCCATCTCCCTAAATCCCCAAATCCCCCAACTCCCTGGCTCCCTAAATCCCCAAACCCCCAACTCACCGAAATCCCCCGATCTCCCCCCACTCCCCATCTCCCTAAATCCCCAATCCCCCCGCTCCCGCCGCCCCGCTGACGGCCCGGTTCCCGGTGCCGGTGCCGGTGCCGGTGCCGCCCAGCTCGCTGGCTCTGGCGTACCGCGGGGCGCGGCGCAAGCAGGCGGAGCAGCTGCGGCGGCTGCGGGCGCGGGCGGCGGCGCTGCGGGGCCAGCACGGCCGCAGGGAGCGAGCCCTGGCCCGGACACTGCGGGAGCTGCAGCGCGGAGGAGAGACCTGCATCTAGGGAATCCCTGGGGGGACACGGGAATCCCCGCGGAAAGCTGGAAATCCACGGGGGAATCTGGAAAATATATGGGGGGATTCGGAAATCGGTGGGGAGACTCGGAAATCTATGGGGGAGTATGAAAAATCTATGGGGGAATATGAAAATTCTGTGGGGGAATATGAAAATTCTATGGGGGAATATGAAAAATCTATGGGGAAAATTCATGGGGAAGTCCAAAAACCTGTGGGAAACTCGGAAATCTATGGGGAGATTTGGAAATCTGTGGGGAGACTCGGAAATCTATGGGGGAATATGAAAAATCTATAGGGAAATATGAAAAATCTATGGGGAAAATTCATGGGGAAGTCCAAAAACCTGTGGGAAACTCGGAAATCTATGGGGAGATTTGGAAATCTGTGGGGAGACTCGGAAATCTATGGGGGAATATGAAAAATCTATAGGGAAATATGAAAAATCTATGGGGAAAATTCATGGGGAAGTCCAAAAACCTGTGGGAAACTCGGAAATCTATGGGGAGATTTGGAAATCTGTGGGGAGACTCGGAAATCTATGGGGGAATATGAAAAATCTATAGGGAAATATGAAAAATCTATGGGGAAAATTCATGGGGAAGTCCAAAAACCTGTGGGAAACTCGGAAATCTATGGGGAGATTCGGAAATCTGTGGGGAGACTCGGAAATCTATGGGGGAATATGAAAAATCTATAGGGAAATATGAAAAATCTATGGGGAAAATTCATGGGGAAATCCAAAAACCCGTGGGGAAACTCGGAAATCCATGGGGAAATCTGGAAATCTATGAGGAAATTTGGAAATCTGTGGGGAAAAAATCCATGGGAAAATCCGAAAACCCATAGGAAAATTCGGAAATCTATGGGGAAATCTGGAAATCTGTGGGGAGACAAGGAAATCCATGGGGAAACTCAGAAATCTATGGGGAGATTCAGAAATCTGGGGAGACAAGGAAATGCATGGGGAAATCTGGAAATCTGTGGGGGAATCTGAAAATCTATGGGGAAAATCCATGGGGAAATCTGAAAATCTATGGGGGAATCTGAAAATCTATGGGGAAAATCCATGGGGAAAATCCATGGGGAAACAAGAAAATCCATGGGGAGCCCCGAAAACCCGTGGGGAAATCCAAAAAAATCTGTGGAGAGGAAACTGGGAAATCCATGGGGAAATCTGAAAATCTATGGGGGAATCTGAAAATCTATGGGGAAAATCCATGGGGAAAATCCATGGGGAAACAAGAAAATCCATGGGGAGCCCCGAAAACCCGTGGGAAATCCAAAAAAATCTGTGGGGAAATCACAGAAATCACTGGAACCCCCCAAAAATCGCTGGAGAACCCCCCAGAAACCCTGAAGACCCCAAAACAACCCAAAAAACCCCAAAAGAAAACCCCCTGGAGACCCCAACAAAACCCCTGGAGACCCCAAACGTGCTGGCGAACCCCACAAAGAGCCCGGGGCCGGTTTGTCCCCGGGGCTGGGGACAAAGGCCGCGTCCCCCCCGCGGTGGCCCCGGTCAAAGGTGACAGCGGTGGCACATCCATATTCAGGAGGGGACACAGCGGTGACCCCGCGGCTGCGGGGCCCGGGCTCAGCCAGGCGGGAATTCCCACGGATCTGGGATCACGGGGGCGCGCTGTGGGGTGGGGAAACTGAGGCACAGGGGTGGGAGGGGGTGGGGTGGGATCCGTGGGGTGGGATTTGTGGGATTGGATTTATAGGATGGGATTTATGGGATTTATGGGATGGGATCCATAGGATTGGGATAAAATTGGGATGGGGGATTTGGGATGGAGGATTTGGGATGGAGGATTTGGGATGAGGGGATTTGGGATGGAGGATTTGGGATGGGGGATTTGGGATGAGGGATTTGAGACGGGGGGATTTGGGATGAGGGATTTGGGATGAGGGGATTTGGGGTGGGGGGATTTGGGAATGAGGATTTGGGATGCAGGGACAATTCAAGGATTTAGGAACACAGGGATTCAGGGATGTGGGGATTGAGGGATGGGGGATTTGGGATAGGGAATTTGGGATGCAGGGACAATTCGGGATTCAGGGATTTGGGACGCAGGGATTTGGGACGTGGGGACAAGGCAGGACATGGGGACAGTTCAGGCATTCAGGGAAGATTCCGTGTGCCACCTCCGCCCCAAATCGGGGTCACCTCAACGCCTGGAGCCCTCCCGGGCCACCCGCGGCCACCGGTGCCACGGGGCGTGTCCCCACTGTCCGGTGTCTGTCCATGTCCGTGTCCAATGTCAGTCTGTGTCCGTGTCCAGTGTCTGTCCGTGTCCAATGTCCAGCATCTGTCTGTGTCCCGTGTCTGTCTATGTCCATGTCCAGTGTCTGTCCATGTCCGGTGTCTGTCCGGTATCCAGTGTCCGGTGTCTGTCCGTGTCTGTGTCCAGTCTCTGTCCGTGTCCAGTGTCTGTCCATGTCAGTGTCTGTCCGTGTCCATGTCCAGTGTCTGTCCATGTCCAGTGTCTGTCCATGTCCGTGTCCAGTCTCTGTCCGTGTCTGTGTCCAGTGTCTGTCCATGTCAGTGTCTGCCCGGTATCCAGTGGGATGCAGGGACAATTCGGGATTCAGGGATTTGGGACGCAGGGATTTGGGACGTGGGGACAAGGCAGGACATGGGGACAGTTCAGGCATTCAGGGAAGATTCCGTGTGCCACCTCCGCCCCAAATCGGGGTCACCTCAACGCCTGGAGCCCTCCCGGGCCACCCGCGGCCACCGGTGCCACGGGGCGTGTCCCCACTGTCCGGTGTCTGTCCATGTCCGTGTCCAATGTCAGTCTGTGTCCGTGTCCAGTGTCTGTCCGTGTCCAATGTCCAGCATCTGTCTGTGTCCCGTGTCTGTCTATGTCCATGTCCAGTGTCTGTCCATGTCCGGTGTCTGTCCGGTATCCAGTGTCCGGTGTCTGTCCGTGTCTGTGTCCAGTCTCTGTCCGTGTCCAGTGTCTGTCCATGTCAGTGTCTGTCCGTGTCCATGTCAGTGTCTGTCCGTGTCCATGTCCAGTGTCTGTCCATGTCCAGTGTCTGTCCATGTCCGTGTCCAGTCTCTGTCCGTGTCTGTGTCCAGTGTCTGTCCATGTCAGTGTCTGCCCGGTATCCAGTGTCCAGTGTCTGTCCATGTCCCGTGTCTGTCCGTGTCCATGTCAGTGTCTGCCCGTGTCCGGTGTCCGGTGTCTGTCTGTGTCCGTGTCCAGTCTCTGTCCATGTCTGTGTCCAGTGTCTGTCCATGTCCATGTCAGTGTCCGTCCATGTTAGTGTCTGTCCGTGTCCAATGTCTGTCCATGTCAGTGTCTCCATGTCAGTGTCTGTCCATGTCCATGTCAGTGTCTGTCCGGTATCCGGTGTCCGGTGTCTGTCCATGTCCCATGTCTGTCCGTGTCCATGTCCAGTCTCTGTCCGTGTCCGTGTCCGGTGTCTGTCCATGTCCCGTGTCTGTCCGTGTCCATGTCAGTGTCTGTCCGGTGTCCGGTGTCCGGTGTCTGTCCAGTGTCCGTGTCCGTGTCCGGGGGTCCCGCTGCCCCCGGGGTCAGGGCTCAGGGCTCGGCCCCTTTTGAGATTCAAATTCCCTTTGTGCGGGGCCAGGCCCCGTGACAGGCGGGGACAGCGGGGACAGCGGGGCCACCTCGGGGCTGGGGACAGCGCGGGACACGGCAGGTGGCACTGGGGACACAGGGCAGGTGGCATTGGGGACACACGGCAGGTGGCATTGGGGACACACGGCAGGTGGCATGGGGGACACAAGGCAGGTGGCACTGGGGACACAAGGCAGGTGGCACTGGGGACATGTCATGGGGCATTGGGGACACAGGGCAGGTGGCACTGGGGACACACAGCAGGTGGCATTGGGGACACAGGGCAGGTGGCACTGGGGACACACAGCAGGTGGCATTGGGGACACAGGGCAGGTGGCCACCGCGAGTCCCCCATTCGTGCCTCAGTTTCCCCGCTGGAAAGGCGGAAGGGATGGTCCGGAGGTGTCGCCGCCCCTTGGGGTGACACATTGGGGGGACACGGCAGGTGGCATTGGGGACACAGGGCAGGTGGCACTGGGGACACACGGCAGGTGGCATTGGGGACACAGGGCAGGTGGCACTGGGGACACAGGGCAGGTGGCATTGGGGACACACAGCCGGTGGCATTGGGGACACACGGCAGGTAGCATTGGGGACACAGGGCAGGTGGCACTGGGGACACACAGCAGGTGGCATTGGGGACACAGGGCAGGTGGCCACCGCGAGTCCCCCATTCGTGCCTCAGTTTCCCCGCTGGAAAGGCGGAAGGGATGGTCCGGAGGTGTCGCCGCCCCTTGGGGTGACACTGGGGACATGGCGGGGACAACGTGGGGACAGCGAGGCCTGAACGCCCAGAGAGGCTGAAAATCGGGGATTGGAGCCCAAAATCCCCAATTTCAGCCATGGGGCATCGGGGGGGACACACGGACGGACGGACAGAGGGACAGAGGGACAGGGTGGAACCGATCCAACCCCAGCCCAATCCCGAGTGGGGCATCCGGGGGGACACACGGACGGACGGACGGACAGAGAGACAGAGGGACAGAGGGACAGGGTGGAACCGATCCAACCCCAGCCCAATCCCGATCCAATCCCGATCCAATCCAGTCCAATCCCAATCCAATCCTGATCCAATCCCGATCCAATCCCAGTCCAATCCCTGTCCAATCCCAATCCAATCCCGATCCAATCCCAGTCCAATCCCGATCCAATCCCATCCAATCCCAATCCAATCCCGATCCAATCCTGATCCAATCCCAATCCAATCCCAATCCAATCCCGATCCAACCCCAAACCCACAGTGTGTATCCTGAGGCGATTTCACCCAATGAAAAAAAATCCAGGATGATTTTTAGGATCTTTCCCTGACCCCCCAGTCCAGGTTTGTCCGTTCGGAAGGATCTGGGATCTTTTTTGGGATCTTTTCCCGCTTTTCCACCATCCCCATCCCCCACAAACCCCACAAACCCCACAAACCCCAAACCACCCCAAAACCCCGGAGCCTTCCCGGGACCCCAAAAGGGAGCCGGGAAAAACCTCGGAGCCTTCCCGGGGCCTTTTGTGGGGCGGGATCAGCGCGAGGAAGAGGAGGAGGGGGGGTGGGAATGGGAATTATTTGGGAATTTGGGGATTTGGGAGGGGCAGGAATGGGAAATATTTGGGAATTCGGGAACTTGAGTTCCTCTGGAGGGGTGGGAATGGGAATTATTTGGGAATTTGGGAATTCGGGAACTTGAGTTCCTCTGGAGGGGTGGGAATGGGAATTACTTGGGAATTCGGGGATTTGGGAGGGGCAGGAATGGGAATTAGTCGGGAATTTGGGAGCTGGAATTCTTCTAGAGGGGTGGGAATGGGAATTATTTGGGAATTTGGGAATTTGGGAGCTGGAATTCCTCTGGAGGGGTGGGAATCGGAATTATTTGGGTATTCGGGAATTTGGGAGCTGGAATTCCTCTGGAGGGGTGGGAATGGAATTATTCGGGAATTCGGGAACTTGGGAGCTGGAATTCCTCCAGAGGGGTGGGAATGGGAATTACTCAAGAATTTGGGAATTTGGGAAGGGTGGGAATGGGAATTATTGGGGAATTCGGGAATTTGGGAAGGGTGGGAATTATTCAGGAATTCGGGAGCTGGAATTCCTCTGGAGGGGTGGGAATGGGAATTATTCGGGAATTCGGGAGCTGGAATTCCTCCAGAGGGGTGGGAATGGGAATTACTCAGGAATTCGGGAATTTGGGAAGGGTGGGAATGGAATTATTCAGGAATTCAGGAATTTGGGAGCTGGAATTCCTCCAGAAATCAAACATCAAAGCAAACGCGGATCCGATTTCCGCTTTTGTTCCTGGATCGTTCTTTTGGGGTTTCCTTGGGGTTGGGGTTGGGTTTTTTTCCAGGGAATCCGAGGCCACAAATCCCACCCCCAGTCGGGGAGGGGGGGGGGGGGGTGACCCCGTTGGGCCCGGATTGGGATCCCCCAAAACCCGGCCCCGTTCCCAGTGGATTTTCCAGGGTTTATCCCATGATTTGGGGCATTGGGATCCTTTCAGGGCACCCTAAATCCAGGGAATTGGGGCAGCCCACCCTTGGGAACACTGTGGGGACAGGGGGACTCTTGACCCCAAAACCCAGCTGGATTTTCCAGGGGTTATCCCATGATTTGCGGGGCTTTAGGATCAAACCCCTAAATCCAGGGAATTGGGGCACCCCATCCTTGGGGACATTGTGGGGACCTTGTGGATTGGGATCCCCAAAACCCATCCCCATTCCCAATGGATTTTCCAGGGGTTATCCCATGATTTGCGGGGCTTTAGGATCAAACCCCTAAATCCAGGGAATTTGGGGCACCCTCACCCTTGGGGACATTGTGGGGACTCTGGGGATTGGGATCCCCAAAACCCATCCCCATTCCCAATGGATTTTCCAGGGGTTATCCCATGATTTGGGGAATTGGGGTCATTTCAGGTCACCCTAAATCCGAATCCTAAATCCAGGGAATTGGGGCACCCCACCCTTGGGGACATTGTGGGGACAGGGGGACTCTTGACCCCAAACCCAGCCCCATTCCCAGCTGGATTTTCCAGGGGTTATCCCACAATTTGGGGGTTTTTAGGATCAGACCCCTAAAACCAGGGAATTGGGGCACCCTTATCTTTGGGGACATTGTGGGGACTCTGGGGATTGGGATCCCCCAAAACCAGCCCCATTCCCAGCTAGGATTTCCAGGATTATCCCACAATTTGGGGGTGTTCAGCATCAAATCCCTAAATCCAGGGAATTGGGGCACCCCACTCTTGGGGACTTTGTGGGGACAGGGAGAATCTTGACCCCAAAACCCAGCCCCATTCCCAGCGGATTTTCCAGGGTTATCCCACAATTTTGGGGTGTTTAGAATCAAACCCCTAAATCCAGGGAATTTGGGGTTTCATTCCATTTATGGCCATCCCCCCAGCACCCCAATTCCAGGCTCAGCTTCGCTTTTCCCTTAATCCTGACCCCGGTTCAGGAATTCCAAGGCCGATCCCAACCCGGCACCTTGGGGACACCGCGAGCTTTTTGGGGTCACTTCGGGGACTTTGCCCGGGGCAGGGCGGGGTGCTGGGGTCAGGCACCTTTTCCCGCTGGGATTATCCCGATTAATTATCCCGGGTTAATGATTCCCAGGAATCCCAGCACCCACCGGGAGCGCTCCTGGACGGGTCCGACGGGTCCGACCGCATTGCAGCCGCCTTTGGGGCCGGGGGGCCTTTGGGGCCAAGGGGACTTTTTGGGATTGCAGGGAATTTTTGGGGCCGCGGGGAATTTTGGGGGTCACGGGACTTTTTTGGCTTTCAGGACCTTTTAGAGTCACAGGACTTTTTGGGGTCTCCTGACTTTATGGGGCTGCAGGGACTTTTTGGGGTCTCAGGAATTTATGGGGCCATGGGACTTTTTGGGGTCTCAGGACTTTATGGAGTCTCAGGACTTTATGGGGTCACGGGACTTTTTTGGCTTTCAGGACCTTTTGGAGTCTCACGACTTTTTGGGGTCTCCTGACTTTATGGGGCCATGGGACTTTTTGGGGTCTCAGGACTTTATGGAGTCTCAGGACTTTATGGGGTCACGGGACTTTTTTGGCTTTCAGGACCTTTTAGAGTCACAGGACTTTTTGGGGTCTCCTGACTTTATGGGGCCATGGGACTTTTTGGGGTCTCAGGAATTTATGGGGTCACGGGACTTTTTGGGGTCACAGGAATTTATGGGGTCATGGGACTTTTTGGGGCTGTGAGATTTTTATGGGGCTGCAGGGACCTTTTGGGGCCATGGGGACATTGTGGGGACACGGAGACTTTTTGGGGTCTCAGGACTTTATGGGGCCATGGCACTTTTTGGGGTCCTAGGACTTTATGGGGTCACAGATCTTTTTGGGGTCTCAGGACTTTATAAAGCCACAGCATATTTTGGGGTCTCAAGACTTTATGGGGCCTTTTTGGGATCTCAGGACTTTATGGGGTCATGGGATTTTTTGGGGTCTCAGAAGTTTATGGATCTTTTTGGGGTCTCAGGACTTTATGGGGTCACAGGATTTTTTCCTGGTACAATGTGGGGCTCCCAGTACAACGCCAGGCTCCCAGTTTGGTGTTGGGATCCCAGAGATACTGGGGTGATCCCAGAATCCCAGTTTGACCCAGATTCCCAGTGATCCCAGTTTGACCCTGGATTCCCAGTGATCCCAGTTTGATCCTGGATTCCCAGTGATCCCAGTTTGATCCCAGATTCCCAGTGATCCCAGTTTGATCCCAGATTCCCAGTGATCCCAGTTTGATCCCGGATTCCCAGTTCCGTGCTGGGATCCCGGTGCCACGTGGGGCTCCTGTCCCAGTGCCAGGTTCCTGGCACAGTGCGGGGCTCCCAGTTTGATCCCGGGATCCCAGTTTGGTCTTGGGGTCCCAGTTTGATCCCGGGATCCCAGTTTGATCCCAGTTTCCCAGCCCCATCCAGTGATCCCACTTTGATCCTGGATTCCCAGTGATCCCAGTTTGATCCCAGATTCCCAGTCATCCAAGTTTGACCCGGATTCCCAGTGATCCCAGTTTGATCCCAGTTTCCCAGCCCTGGTTTTCCAGTCTGATCCCGGTTTCCCGGTCCCCATCCCGGTTTCCCAGTACCCATTCCGGTGTCCCAGCCCCATCCCAATGCCCCAGCCCCATCCCGGTTTCCCAGTTTGATCCCGGTTTCCCAGTTTCATCCCAGTTTCCCAGCCCCATCCCGGTGTCCCAGTTTCATCCCAGTTTCCCAGTCCGCGGCCACCGCGGCAGCGGCTGAACTTTGCTCTTTCACGGGAGGCGGGGAGAGCCCCGGGGCTCGGCGGAGCCGGTCCCGCCGCACCCGCAGCCGCACCGGCACCGGGCTGCGAGCGGCGGCGGGGCCCGGAGAGCGGCGAGGGCGAACCGGGGCAGCGCCGCCTCCTTCCTCCTCCTCCTCCTCCTCCTCTTCTCCTCCTCCTCCTTCCAGCCGGTGCCGCGGAGCGCAGGAGCCACCGGGGGCGGGAGCGGCCCCGCATGCGGCCGGTGCCCGCGGGGGGATGCGCCGCGCCCCGGCCCCGCCGCCGCCGCCGCCGCAAACTTTCCGCGGGGCCGTGAACCGGCAGGAGGAGGAGGAGGAGGAGGAGGAGGAGGAGGAGGAGGAGGAGGAGGAGGAGGAGGAGGAGGAGGAGGAGGAGGAGGAGGAGAGCGACAAATCCCTGAGGGGGCGACCCCAAAAAAAAACCTAAAAAAGAAAAACTCCCCCAAAAAGCGGCGCTTTTCCCGGCCGGCTGTTCCTCGGTAAAACTTACCGAACTCGGCGCGGGGAAACACCGGGAGGAGAACCGGGAGGGGAAGAACCGGGAGAAAAACCGGGAGCAGAACCAGCACCGGGAGGGGAAGAACCGGGAGAAGAAGAACCGGGGGTAGAAGCGGCACCGGGAAGGAAAGAACCGGGAGCAGAACCAGCACCGGCAGGGAAAGAACCGGGAGGAGAACCGGGAGGGAAAGAACCGGGAGGAGAAGAACCGGGAGCAGAACCAGCACCGGGAGGAGAAGAACCGGGAGCAGAAGCACCGGGGGCAGAAGCAGCACCGGGCAGAGAAGAACCGGGAGGAGGAGAAGCACCGGGAGAAGCCGCACCGGGAGGAGCACCGGGAGGAGCAGCAGCACCGGCAGGCTCCGCTCGATGCGGCGCTGAGCCCCCGCGGCCCCGCGGAGCCATGGCCATGGTGGCCGGCGCTTGGGGCGAACCGAACGGCGGCGGAGCCGGTGGCACCGGAGGCGGCGGCGGCGGCGGCGGAGCGGAGGAGGCGGCGTCCCCCGGCGGCGGCGGCAGCGACGCGGAGCACGGCGAGGAGGAGCGGCCCGGGGCCGGCGCGGACTGCGTGGTGTGCGGGGACAAATCCAGCGGGAAGCACTACGGCGTGTTCACCTGCGAGGGCTGCAAGAGCTTCTTCAAGCGCAGCATCCGCAGGAACCTCAGCTACACCTGCAGGTGACAGCGGGGGACAGCGGGGACAGCGGGGGACAGCGGGGACACCCAGGGACAGCGTGTGACCGCGGGGACAGCGGCACGGACGGGGGGACAGTGCCAGGGGAGCGGGGGGACAGCGGGGACAGCGGGGGGACAGCGGGGGGACAGCGCCAGGGGAGCGAGGGGACAGCGGGGACAGAGTGGGGACACCGCCAGGGGACACCCCGAGGGGAGCGGGGGAACAGCCGGGGGGATCCCGCTTGGGGATGAGTTGGGGTCTCGGCGTGGTGGTGCTGGGGGTGTCCCAGTGCAAACCAGTGGCTCCCAGTACAGCTCGGGGCTCTCCCAGTACAAACCAGTGGCTCCCAGTGCGAATGAGGGGTCCCCAGTACAGCGCTCCCAGTTCAGCCCAGTGGCTCCCAGTTCAGCTGAGGTTTGCCCCCATTCCATCCCAGTTTCCCCCGGTCCATCCCAGTTTCCCCCATTCCATCCCAGTGTCCCCCAGTCCATCCCAGTTTCCCCCGGTCCATCCCAGTTTCCCCCAGTCCATCCCAGTTTCCCCCAGTCCAGCACGGTTTCCCCACCCCCGGCCGCCCCCATTCCCGGTATTCCAGGTCATTCGGCCGCATTCCCGGTCCATCCCGGTCCATTCCCGGTGTTCCCGATGTTTCCGGTCCATCCCCGTGTTCCCGGTCCATCCCGGTCCATCCGGGTCCATCCCGGTGTTCCCGGCGCTCCCGGCATTCCCGCGGTGCCCGTGACTCACCCCGGGCACGGCCGGGATCCAGCGGGAGCCGCGGGAATGCCGGGAGCGCCGGGAACACCGGGATGGACCCGGATGGACCGGGAATGGACCGGGAATGGACCGGAACACGGGGATGGATCGGGAACACCGGGATCCAGCGGGAGCGAGGAGCCTCTGGAATTCCGGGATAATGGGAACACCGGGATCCCCTGGAATCCCGGGATAATGGGAACACCGGGATCCCCTGGAATTCCGGGATAATGGGAACACCGGGATCCCCTGGAATTCTGGGATAATGGGAACACCGGCATCCCCTGGAATTCCGGGAAACTGGGAGCGGGGATCCCCTGGAATTCCGGGATAATGGGAGTGGGGACCCCCTGGAATTCCGGGGTCCCTGAGGAATCCGGGATGGGATCCGCGGAAGCTTCGGAGCTGCCGGAACCTCCAGAATTCCCAGTCCCCAGTCCCAGGCTGCTCCTGGAGGGCGGAATTCCCGAATTTCTGAGGGTCCCCATTCCCTCATCCCGGCTCAGGGAGGGCTCTGGAATTTTTGGGAGAAGGAAAAAGGATCTGGAATCATCCAGGAGCTGTTGGATCCAATCCCAGCTCCAATCCCAGCTGGAATCTACTTCTGATCCTAAAATTATCCCGGATTTTTTGGGGGAAAAGTTCCCCAAAATTAACAATTTTTTTTTCCAGTGCTGGATCCAATCCCAGCTGGAATCTACTTCTGATCCTAAAATTATCCCGGATTTTTTGGGGGAAAAGTTCCCCAAAATTAACAATTTTTTTTTCCAGTGGATAAAACCACCTGGGTAATTCCTTGGAATTTTGGGAAAAGCTTCAAGAAATATCCCAGATTTTTCCCAATGGGTAAAATCACCTGGATGATCCCACCACAGCCTTGGAATTTCGGGAAAAGCTCCCAAAACTCAGCCCAGATTTCTCCCAATCCCAACAGGAATTCCCTCAATCCCTCCCCAGCTCCAGGGGTGGAAAAGGCCGGAATTCCCAGCTGGAAAACCTTCCCAAAAAAAATCCTCCTGGACTCTTCCCAGTAGATAAAACCACCAGGATAATTCCTTGGAATTTCGGGAAAAGCCTTCCAAAATTATCCTAGATTTTTTCCCCAGGATAATTCCTTGGAATTTTGGGAAAAGATCCCAGAATCATCCCGGATTTTTTTTCCCAGTGGATAAAACCACCGGAATAATTCCTTGGAATTTTGGGAAAAACTCCCAAAATTCCTTCCGGATTTTCCCCAAGGGCCGAACCCTCCCCCACCATCCCAAAAATCCCCTCCGGAGATTCCCAATGGGAAAGGCGGCAGCGAGCTGGGAAATTTGGGAAGCTCCGAAAGGCCCGGGCCGTGCTAATGACTTAATTAGGGCGGGTAATTAGCGGGAGCGATAATTAAAGGCACTTTGAATATGCAAATGAGCTCGGGGCCGCTTTGGATTCCCGGAACAAAAGCGGGATCCTGGAGCTTTGTTCCTCTGGAAAAGCCAAAAATTCCCAAGTCACTTCCTGGCTTTTGAAATTAAAAAAAATGGGAAAAAACCCTCTGGAATATCCCAAGATTCCAGCGATTCCCAAGTCACTTCCAGGCTGTTTAAATTAAAAAAAAAGTAGGGAAAAAAACTTCAGGAATCTCACAAATCCCAGTGCTGTCAGCTCTTCCCTATCCCTTTCCACTGGGAAAAATTCCAGGATAATTTTGGGATCTTTTCCCAAAATTCCAAGGCTGTGGTGGGATCATCCAGGTGATTTTGTCCTTTGGGAAAAATCTGGGATATTTCTGGGGAGCTTTTCCCGAAATTCCAAGGAATTACCCAGGTGGTTTTATCTACCGGGAAAAATCCAGGATAATTTTGGGGAGCTTTTCCCAAAATTCCAAGGCATGATCCTGAGAAAAAATCTGGGATAATTTGGGGATCTTTTCCCAAAATTCCACAAAATTACCCAGGTGGTTTTATCCACTGGGGAAAAAAAAAATCCAGGATAATTTTGGGATCTTTTCCTGCTGCTCCCAACCCTTGGAGGCTCTCCTGGGTGTTTTCATCCACTGGAAAAAAAAAAAAATTGGGATAATTCCCATTTTTTCCCAGTTCTCCGAGCCCTTCCCGGCTGTTTTCCGGGAATTCAGGCCTGGATGAAGTCGTCAGAGCCGCTCCTGATCCTGCTTTTCATCGGGATCACGTTCCCGGCCACGCTGGGAATGTTGGGGATGAATTAATTCCGTGTTGGGATTCCGGAAAGATCCGTGGCGGGATTCCCGCGGCTCCGGCCTGGAATTCATCCCAAATTCCCTTTTCCCGCCCCCAATTCCAGCTGGGAAGGGATTTCCCGCTCTGGGATCGGCCTGGGAATGGGATTGGGGGGGTTTGGAGGGGGAGATTCCGTGGGGGAATGGGAGGCAGGAGCCTTTTCCAGGGATTTTGGGAATTTTGGGATGAATCCATGGCCAGGACCCCTTTTGCAGGGATTTTGGACCCCTTTTCCAACATTTTGGGAATTTTGGGATGAATGCATGAGCCAGGACCCCTTTTCTGGGATTTTGGGATGAATCCATGGGCCAGGACCCCTTTTCCAGGGATTTTGGGAATCTGAGGAAATTTGGGATGAGTCCATGGGCCAGGACCCCTTTTGCAGGCTCTGAGGAATTTTGGGAATTCTCTCCCTTATCCCAAAATCCCGTGGGATTTGGGGCCAGCGCTGCCTGAGGCGTTTCAGGCCCAGCCCCGCAGGAAATTCCTGGAATTCCTTGGAATTCCTGGAGCCGCTTCCATGGGACCACCAACAATTAAATCCCAAAGATTTCCCAGAGGGGGCGGGGATGGGGCTGAAAATCCAGTGGGATTTTTTTGGGATCAGGATGAAAACCCAGTGGGATTTTTTGGGATCAGGATGAAAATCCAGTAGGATCCATGTAGGATCAGGATGAAGATCCGTGTGGGATCAGGATAAAAATCCAGTGGGATTTTTTGGGATCGGGATGCAAATCCAATGGGATTTTTTGGGATCACCGTGAAAAAAAACCCACCAGCAACAACCATTCCTAGAAAATCCCATAAAAATTAGGGGGAATGGGCTCTTGGATTCCCAGAGTGGATCTGGGGGGGGCTGAAATTCCCAGGAATTCCGGCTGATCCCGAAAATTCCCACAGATCCAACCGGGACTGCCAGATCGACCAACACCACCGGAACCAGTGCCAGTACTGCCGCCTCAAGAAGTGCTTCCGAGTGGGAATGAGGAAGGAAGGTAGGGAAAAAATTCCCAAGGAATCCCAGGAATCCCGGGAATCCCGGGTTTTGGGGGGGGGGGGAATTCCCTTTTTTGGGGGGATTTTTATGGATTTTTGGTGGATCCGTGTGGGATCGGGATAAAAATCTGGTGGGATTTTCTGGGATCAGCGTGAAAATCCAGGAGGATCCATGAGGGATCAGGATGAAGATCCAGTGGGATTTTTTGGGATCAGGATGAAAATCCAGAAGGTTTCTTTGGTATTGGGATGAAGATCCAGTGGGATCCGTGTGGGATCGGGATGAAAATCCGATTGGATATTTTGGGATCGGGATGAAAATCCGTTGGGTTTTTTGGGATCAGGATGAAAACCCAGTAGGATCCATGTAGGATCAGGATAAAAATCCAATTGGATATTTTGGGATTGGGATGAAGATCCAGTAGGATTCATGGGATTAGGATGAAAATCCACTGTGATTTTTTGGGATCAGGATGCAAATCCGATTGGATTTTTCGGGATCGGGATGAAAACCCAGTAGGATCTGTGTAGGATCAGGATGAAGATCCAGTAAGATCAATGTGGGATAAAAATCCAATGGGACTTTTCGGAATCGGGGTGAAAATATGTTGGGATTTTTTTGGATCACGATGAAGACTCAGTAGGATTCTTTGAGATTGGGATGAAAATCCGATGGGGTTTTTTGGGATCGGGATGCAAATCCGATGGGATTTTTTGGATCAGGATGCAAACCCAGTAGGATCAGGATGAAGATCCAGCAAGATCAGTGTGAGATAAAAATCTGATGGGACTTTTTGGGATGGGGATGAAAATCCGTTGGGATTTTTTGGATCAGGATGAAGATCCAGTGTGATCAGTGTGAGATAAAAATCTGATGGGACTTTTTGGGATGGGGATGAAAACCCAGTAGGATTCTTTGAGATTGGGATGAAAATCCGATGGGGTTTTTTGGGATCGGGATGCAAATCCGATGGGATTTTTTCACGTAGAATCAGGATGAAGATCCAGTAAGATCAGTGTGGGATAAAAATCCGATGGGACTTTTTGGGATCGGGATGCAAATCCGTTGGGATTTTTTGGATGAGGATGAAGACCCAGTAGGATCCATGTAGGATCAGGATGAAGATCCAGTAAGATCAGTGTGGGATAAAAATCCGATGGGACTTTTTGGGATCGGGATGCAAATCCGTTGGGATTTTTTGGATGAGGATGAAGACCCAGTAGGATCCATGTAGGATCAGGATAAAAATCCAATTGGATATTTTGGGATTGGGATGAAGATCCAGTAGGATTCATGGGATTAGGATGAAAATCCACTGTGATTTTTTGGGATCAGGATGCAAATCCGATGGGATTTTTTGGATCAGGATGAAGATCCAGTAAGATCAGTGTGGGATAAAAATCCGATGGGACTTTTTGGGATGGGGATGAAAAATGGGATTTTTTGGATCAGGACGCAAACCCAGTAGGATCCACGTAGAATCAGGATGAAGATCCAGTAAGATCAGTGTGGGATGAAAATCCGATGGGACTTTTTGGGATGGGGATGCAAATCCATTGGGATTTTTTGGATCAGGATGAAAATCGTGCAAGATCAATGTGGCATAAAAATCCAATGGGACTTTTTGGGATGGGGATGAAAAATGGGATTTTTTGGATCAGGACGCAAACCCAGTAGGATCAGGATGAAGATCCAGTGTGATCAGTGTGGGATAAAAATCCGATGGGACTTTTTGGGATGGGGATGAAAAATGGGATTTTTTGGATCAGGACGCAAACCCAGTAGGACTTTCTTGACCTCACCCTGCCCCTCCTGCCCCTCCAGCCGTCCAGCGGGGCCGAATCCCCCCGAGCCACTCCAGCAGCAGCCCCAACCCCCTCCCGGCCGGCGACTTCTTCAACGGGCAGCCGGTGTCGGAGCTGATCTCGCAGCTGCTGCGCGCCGAGCCCTACCCGGCGGCGCGCTACGGCTCGCAGTACGCGCAGCAGCAGCAGCCGCCGGGCAGCGTCATGGGCATCGACAACATCTGCGAGCTGGCCGCCCGCCTGCTCTTCAGCACGGTGGAGTGGGCGCGCAACATCCCCTTCTTCCCGGAGCTGCCCGTGTCCGACCAGGTGGCCCTGCTGCGGCTGAGCTGGAGCGAGCTCTTCGTGCTGAACGCGGCGCAGTCGGCGCTGCCGCTGCACATGGCGCCGCTGCTGGCGGCCGCCGGCTTCCACGCCTCGCCCATGTCGGCCGAGAGGGTGGTGGCCTTCATGGATCAGATCCGGGTCTTCCAGGAGCAGGTGGAGAAGCTCAACCGGCTGCAGGTGGACTCGGCCGAGTACAGCTGCCTCAAGGCCATCGCGCTCTTCACGCCCGGTGAGGGGTGGGAGGGATTGGGGTGGGGATTCCTCGGGGTTTTTGGGGTTGGGGATGGATAGGGAGAGGTTGTTCCAAGGGTTTTTGGGGTTGGAGTTGGGTGGGAGGGATTGGGGTGGGGTTTCCTCAGGGTTTTTGGGGTTGGGGTCGGGTGGGAGGGATTGGGGTGGGGATTCCTCGGGGTTTTTGGGGTTGGGGATGGATAGGGAGAGGTTGTTCCAAGGGTTTTTGGGGTTGGAGTTGGGTGGGAGGGATTGGGGTGGGGTTTCCTCAGGGTTTTTGGGGTTGGGGTCGGGTGGGAGGGATTGGGGTGGGGTTTCCTGAGGGTTTGGGGGGTTAGGGATGGGTAGGGAGAGGTTGTTCCAGGTTTTTCTGAGGGTTTAGGGACTTGGGATTTTGAGAGATTCCCAATAGATTTGGGGATATTCCCAATTGAATTGGGGATGTTCCCTTGGGGATATTCCCAATGGATTGTGGGAGATTGGATTTTGGGATGTTCCCAATGGATTTGGGGATGTTCCCTGTAAATTTTAGGATGTTCCAAATAGATTTGGGGATATTGGATTTTGGGATATTCGCAATGGATTTTGGTATATTCCAAATGGATTTTGGGAGATTGGATTTTGGGATCTTCCAAATAGATTTGGGGATATTCCTGATGGATTTTGGGGATACTGGATTTGGGGTCATTCCCTTGTGGACATTCCCAATGGATCTGGGGATATTCCCAATGGATTTGGGGATACTGGATTTGGGGTTATTCCCTTGGGGACATTCCCAGTGGATCTGGGGATACTCCCAATGGATTTGGGGATATTCCCAATGGATTTTGGGGATACTGGATTTGGGGTTATTCCCTTGGGGACATTCCCAATGGATTTGGGGGATATTCCCAATGGATTTTGGGCTATTCACATTGGATTTTGGGATATTCCAAATGGATTTGAGGACATTCTCAATGGATTTTGGGGATACTGGATTTGGGGTTATTCCCTTGGGGACTTCCCAATGGATTTTGGGATTCTCCCAATGGATTTTGGCCTATACCCATTGGATTTTGGGATATTCCAAATAGATTTGAGGACATTCCCAATGGATTTTGGGGATACTGGATTTGGGGTTATTCCCTTGGGGACATTCCCAATGGATTTGAGGACATTCCCAATGGATTTTGGGGATACTGGATTTGGGGTTATTCCCTTGGGGACTTCCCAATGGATTTTGGGATACTCCCAATGGATTTTGGGCTATTCCCAATGGATTTGGGGGATATTCCCAATGGATTTGGGGCTGTTGGATTTTGGGACACTCCCAACGGATGCCGGCCGTTCCCTTTTGCAGACGCCTGCGGGCTGTCGGACCCGGCGCACGTGGAGACGCTGCAGGAGAAGGCGCAGGTGGCGCTGACGGAATACGAGCGCTCGCAGTTCCCGTCGCAGCCGCAGCGCTTCGGGCGGCTCCTGCTGCGGCTGCCCGCGCTGCGCGCCGTGCCCGCCGCCCTCATCTCGCAGCTCTTCTTCATGCGCCTGGTGGGCAAAACGCCCATCGAGACCCTGATCCGCGACATGCTGCTGTCCGGCAGCACCTTCAACTGGCCCTACGGCGCCGGGCAGTAGGGACGGACGGACGGACGGATGGACGGACGGTGGGATGGACGGATGGATGGACGGATGGATGGATGGATCGATGGATTGATGGCGGGATGGGCCGGAGAACAGGACGGGCCGGACAATGGGACGGGCCGGACAATGGGACGGGCTGGACAGCGGGACGGACAGACAGCAGGATGGATGGACAGCAGGACGGGCCGGAGAACAGGACGGGCCGGACAATGGGACGGGCCGGACAATGGGACGGGCTGGACAGCGGGACGGACAGACAGCAGGATGGATGGACAGCAGGACGGGCCGGAGAACAGGACGGGCCGGACAATGGGACGGGCCGGACAATGGGACGGGCTGGACAGCGGGACGGACAGACAGCAGGATGGATGGACAGCAGGACGGGCCGGAGAACAGGACGGGCCGGACAATGGGACGGGCCGGACAATGGGACGGGCTGGACAGCGGGACGGACAGACAGCAGGATGGATGGACAGCAGGACGGGCCGGAGAACAGGACGGGCCGGACAATGGGACGGGCCGGACAATGGGACGGGCTGGACAGCGGGACGGACAGACAGCAGGATGGATGGACAGCAGGACGGGCCGGAGAACAGGACGGGCCGGACAATGGGACGGGCCGGACAATGGGACGGGCTGGACAGCGGGACGGACAGACAGCAGGATGGATGGACAGCAGGACGGGCCGGAGAACAGGACGGGCCGGACAATGGGACGGGCCGGACAATGGGACGGGCTGGACAGCGGGACGGACAGACAGCAGGATGGATGGACAGCAGGACGGGCCGGAGAACAGGACGGGCCGGACAATGGGACGGGCCGGACAATGGGACGCAGGATGGATGGACAGCAGGAGGGGGCGGAGAACAGGACGGGCCGGAGAACAGGACGGGCCGGACAATGGGACAGGCTGGACAACAGGATGGGCCAGATAATAGGGACAGGCTGGACAGTGGGACAGGCCGGACAGCGGGACGGACAGACAACAGGACAGGCTGGACAACGGGACAGACGGACAGCAGGACGGGCCAGAGAATGGGACAGGCTGGACAGCGGAATGGACAGACAGCGGGATGGATGGATGGACAGTGGGACAGGCCGGAGAACAGGACGGGCCAGACAATAGGATGGGCCCGAAAATGAGATGGGCCAGACAACGGGACAGGCTGGACAATGGGACAGGCTGGACAGCGGGACGGGCCAGAGAACGGGACAGACGGACAGTGGGACGGGCAAGACAATGGGATGGGCTGGACAGCAGGACAGGATGGACAATGGGATGGGTCTGAAAATGGGATGGGCTGGACAACAGGATGGGCCAGATAATAGGGACAGGCTGGACAATGGGACAGGCCGGACAGTGGGACCAACAGACAACAGGACAGGCTGGACAACAGGACGGACAGACAGCAGGACAGGCTGGAGAACGGGATGGACTGGACAACAGGACAGGCTGGACAGTGGGACAGACAGACAGTGGGATAGGCTGGACAGCGGGACATGCTGGAAAACGGGACAGGCTGGACAGCAGGACAGACAGACAGTAGGATGGGCTGGACAACGAGACAGACGGACAAGGGGACAGACGCTCCCCGGGAAGGGGATTGGGATTCTCAGCAATGCCGGCGGCTCCCGATCCCGCCGGAATGGGGACACGCCCTCATGGGTTGTGCCTCAAGAGTTCTGGGGTTGGCACCAAAGGTTTTGGGGTCCTGGCATTGTCACAGGAATTTTTGGAGTCCCGGCATTGTCCCCAAAAGTTTTGGAAGAGGTCCCAGTGTTGTCGCAAAAAGTTTTGGGGTCCTGGTGTTGCTCCAAAATGTTTTGGGGTCCTGGTGTTGTCCCCAGAAGAGGTCCCAATGTTGTCCTCAAATTGTCCCTGAAAGTTTTGGGGTCCTGATGTTTTCCCCAAAAGTTCTGGAGTCCTGGCGTTGTCACCAAAGGTTTTGGGGTCCTGGTGTTGTCCCCAGAAGAGGTCCCAATGTTGTCCTCAAAAGTTTTGGGGTCCCAGTGTTGTCCCAGAAGTTTTGGGGTCCTGGTGTTGTCCCCAAAAGAGGTCCCAATGTTGTCCCCAAAAGAGGTCCCAATATTGTCCTCAAATTGTCCCTGAAAGTTTTGGGGTCCTGATGTTTTCCCCAAAAGTTTTGGGGTCCTGGCGTTGTCACCAAAGGTTTTGGGGTCCTGAGGTTGTCCCCAGGGTGTCCCCAAAGATGGAGGGGACACACAAGGGACACAGACCCCCCCCCGGGACTGTCCCCCCCGGCTGGCACCAGGATGAGCCAGGATTTGGGATTTCAGGATTTGGGATTTTGGGATTCCGGGACCTATTGGATTTGGAATATGGGGACATGGGGGACATCAGGGACACTGGGGACACTGGGGACATGGGGCCATCGGGGATATTGGGGACATCAGGGGGACATCACTGGGGACATGGGGCCATCAGGGATATTGGGGACACTGGGGATATTGGGGACACTGGGGCCATCAGGGGGGACATGGGGCCATTGGGGATATTGGGGACATTGGGGATATTAGGGACATCAGGGGGGACGTCACTGGGGACATGGGGCCATCAGGGATATTGGGGACACTGGGGCCATCAGGGGGGACATGGGGCCATTGGGGATATTGGGGACATTGGGGATATTAGGGACATCAGGGGGGACGTCACTGGGGACATGGGGCCATCAGGGATATTGGGGGTATTGGGACATTGGGGACATGAGGGACATTGGGGAAATCGGGGATATTGGGGACACTGGGGGATATTGGATATGGGATATGGGGACATGGGATATGGGGACATGGGCGACTTTGGGGACATTGGGAACACTGGGGACATTGGGGGTGTTGAGACACTGGGGACGTGGGGACATTGGGGATGTTGGATTTGGGATATGGGGACATTGGGGACACTGGGGACATTGGGGACATGGGGGACATTGGGGACACTGGGACATTGGATTTGGGATATGGGGACATTGGGGATATTGGGACATTGGGGACACTGGGGACTTTGGGGACACGGGGGACATTGAGGATATTGGATATGGTATATGGGGTCATTGTGGGATATGGGGACACTGGGGACAATGGGGACACTGGGGATGTTGGGGATATTGGGGACGTTGGGGACATTGGGACATTGGAGACACTGTAGACATTGGGATATGGGGACACTGGGGACACGGGGGTGATTGGGACACTGGGGACATTGGGGACACTGGGGACATTGGGGACACTGGGATATGGGGACACTGGCTATGGGATATGGGGACACGGGGACACTGGGGACACGGGGGCTATGGGGACACTGGGACATGGGGACACTGGCTATGGGATATGGGGTCCCGGGGACACTGGGGACACGGGGGATATTGGGACATTGGGGACACTGGGGACACGGGGGCTATGGGGACACTGGGACACGGGGACACTGGCTATGGGACATGGGGACCCGGGGACACTGGGGACACGTGGCGATCCGCGCTGTCCCCGAGCGTCACCTGTGCCACTGCTGGCGGTCACGCTCGTCGCCGGACTCGGGGGCCGAGGTGGGGTCGGTGTCACCGGCGGAGCCCTCGCGCTCGGGCTGGCGCCGGCCCCGGCGGCCGCGGCGGT